CTAGCATGTGTGGAAATATTTAAACCACGTGTGTTACAATTTACTCCGCGTTACTTTGTGCCCGCGCTCCCCCTATATCTCTTTTAAAGTCTGTCATAGAATGGACTGATTTGAATTGCTAATGTAAACTTTACCCTTAGTGTTACAGCTCAGCAATCATCTCATAAATATTTACTTTAATGTGGTGGTCTGGTACTGGTACAACTGGTTTCAGGAAACGTTTCTCCCAAATGTTTGCAGGCAACTTCACCGGAAACTTCACCTTCACCCTCACGAACTCTTCAACGTGTTTGGCTGGTTCTCCTGAAATAGGCATTGAAGATAAAATGACAGAGTGAGGAGCCGTCTGGTGTCCGATTCATTCTCATTCAGTTCTCCCGTTAATAATTTAGTGGCGTTTGTTAATTATTTTTTACATTAGTGACTAAGTTCCGCAATATTTTGACTGTTCGAATCTTCCACCTTTGATTCATTCACTTCTTTGTTGAACCTTGATCTAATTTGCTGGTTTATTTACACAGACACGCGTATTACTTCGTTGCGATCGGGGCTGCGGTCCTGCTCCTGGGAACGTTCCAGGTAATGCTTTTCCTGCTAACTGCTGCGAAGCAAACAAAGAGGATCCGGGAGAAGTACTTTCATGCCATCCTCCACCAGCAGATGTCATGGTTTGACACGCATCCGATCGGAGAGCTGAACATAAGACTTACTGAGTGCGTGAAGTGCGGCCACGATCCAGACTCTTGTTTCTGTCACCTGATCAGTTCTTTGGTTACGTCTCAGGTGTTTAAGTGTCAAATTGATGCATCTCCCTTCTTTCCCCAATGCAGTGATATAAACACAATCAACGATGGCCTCGGGGACAAAATCTGTGTGTTTGTCCAGTTCTTCTGCACATTTATTGCTGGTTTCATCATTGGTTTTATCTATGGCTGGAAGCTGACGCTGGTCATTCTTGCTGTCAGTCCCCTGCTGGCAGGATCAGCAGCTGTTTGGTCTATAGTATGTATGATGTCTATCATTTTTATTGATTTTTGACATTTATTTGTAAATATTTTACCTTTTTGCCGCCTATAGATTCTTGTGATGATTAGATAAAATTAAATGATGATAAAATTAAAATATAAAATATATATTATCAAAATACAAATATTAAAAAATGATTATATATATTCACCTTCAATTTTTTCTATTTTTTTCTATCCTTTTTTAATATCTTTATTGTAATCATTTTTATTTTTTCTAAAGGTAAATATGTTACCTTTTTGTCGCCTATAGATTCTTGTGATGATTAAAATAAATTAAATTATGATCAAATTAAAATATAAAATATATATTATTAAAATTAAAATATTGAAAAATGAAAAAATCATTATATATATATATATATATATATATATACACTGTATGTATGTGTGTATATATATATATATATATATATGTATACATATGTATACTGTAAACTCAATATATTCTATTTTTTCTATACATTTTAAATATATT